AGTACCTCCAGGACCTCCAGTAGCACCAGCAGCACCAGTGTCAACAGTACCTCCACTAGCAGGGCCTCCAGCGGGCGGTACCTCAACGCGAGGAGCTCCACTCCTGAGGCTGCAGCTTCGAGCGTACCACTCACGTAGCCGCTGAGGGGAGGGAGGCTCTGGCTGCGGCACTGCACCTGCGAGGCCACCAGCCCCGACTCCAGCAGACTCCCCGGCTCCAGCAGTCCCACGACGGAGGCTGTAGCGCTGAGTGTACCACTCACGCAGCTGCTGTGAAGAGGGAGCGCCACCAGGCTCAGCACCCCCAGTCTCAGCACCCCCAGTCGCAGCACCTCCAAGCTCAGTACCCAAAGTCTCCGCACCCCCAGGCTCAGCACCCCCAGTCTCAGTGCCCTCAGACCCAGCACCACTAGGCTCAGCAGACTCAGTACCTCGCGCAGTCAACAGGTACCTCGACAGGCTCGACCGGGTCAACCTGGGAAACACCTGAGGGAGCAACACCCTGGGGAGGGAGGGGGTCTACCGACGGGACACCTGGGGTGAGAAAGAGCGGCAGGGGGGGGAGCGGGGCAGTGTGGTAGGGGAAGAGACGGTAAAAGGGTACCAACTCGTCGAAGGTGACGTCCTGAGAGGCGAAGACACGACGCGAGGTGGGGTGGTAAAACTGCCAGCCAGGCGCGTCAGGGACAAAGCCCAGGAAGACACAGGGAACTGCACGGGAGGAAAGTTTGTCCGCGGACGTATCACGAACAAAGGCTCGACATCCCCAGACTCGGAACACCGACGCGTCGCAAACCTCCCCCGTCCAACGCAGGGTAGGCGAGGTCTCCGGAACAGAGACATGGGGCCAGAGGTTGAGCTGATGCGTGGCGTACTGCACTGCAAACGGCCACAGGAAATGGGGGGCAGCCGTATGGATCATGGAGGTACGAGCGACCTCCATGACAAGACCAATGCGGCGCTCAGCAACCCCATTCTGCTGCGGAGAGGCCGGGAGAGTGAACGTCTGGCGGATGCCGTGCTCCGCACAGTAGGCTACTAGGAGGTAAGAGGAAAACTTGCCACCTCTGTCAGAGTGCAGACGTAGGAGAGGAAAGTCCGACTGGAACCGCTGGCGGAGCTGGAGACAAGCAGCGCGGATCCAGGGGATCAAGACATCAAGGACCTCACCCTTGGTACGCAAGGGGAAGACCGTGGTGTAGCGCGTGTAGTCGTCGACGACCAGCAGAAAGTACCGCTCGTGGCCCTGTCCCCGGACGCGGGCGGGGCCCCACACGTCCAGGTGGAGCGTCTGCAGGGGAGCCTCTGTGGGAGGGAACGAGGAGGAGTGAGGAGCGGCGCGCTGCCGCCCCTCGACACAGGGAAGACAGGGATGAGCAGGCGAGGGTGGTAGGGGAGGGAGAACTCCGAGAAGACCAGAGACAAGGTACCTGGAGTGCATGCCACGAAGGCGCTGCACTGACGGTTGACCAAGGCGGTGGTGCCAGAGGACAGTCCTGTGCGACAGGGAGCGACACGAGCAGGGGGCCGACAGCTGACCTGACGCAGACGCAGCGACCTGAGGGGACTCAGTGGTCAGTGTGTACAAGTCCGACCCCGGCTGCCGAGTGAAGGTAGCCAGGTGACGACCCGTCCGGGCACACGTGCAGTGCGTCACACGCTCGTAGGCCGGGGTGAACTGGTGAACACCCGCGTCCTGGAGCGCGGAACCCGCCACCAAGTTCGTAGAGAACGAGGGGAGGAAGAGGCCCGACAGCATGCCAGACGGGACACCAGGACAAGGGACGGCAGTGGTGGAGGTCGCAAGGACCGGACCCCCTGAGGGGTCAGCCAGGGAGACACCAACCGGTCTAGGGAGCTGCTCGAGGGCAGTGCGGTCGCGAAAGAAACAGCAGGAAGCACCTGAGTCCAGTGTGAAGGTGTGAAGTGCCTCAGTAGGTGCGGTACCAGCAGACGCAGACGCACTAGCACCTAGGAGTTCCTTCTCGAGGAGGTCGACAGTGAGGTCAGTGGGGGAGAGGGCGAGAAACTGGTCCCTGACTGTGCGAAGGGAGTCAGGGAGGCGCGTGACAAGGTGGTTTAGTGTGAGGTACATCGGGGGGGGAGGGTTCTTCGCAAGGAAATCTGGGGGGAGTGCGGCACGGTAGCGGAGGTTACTAGTACGAAGGTGGGTGATGAGGTCAGCTACAGTGGCAAAGGAGGACAGGTCGGGGAAGAGGTAGGGCAGTGAGAGACGACCTATAGCAGCAGTGGCAGGGGAGGAGTAGTGCGCGACTACTAGCGGTCTTATGCTGGCCGAAGTGCTCGCGCTCATCTAACGGCAGGTGGCTGCGAACGGCTAGGCAGGCGTGAGCATCACGGGTCTGCCACTGGGAGCGAGCAGTACTGTCAGCAGTAGCGGGAGGTGCGGGAGCAGCGCCTGACGTGTGGTCATACAGTGAGACATCGTTCTTGGCAGTGATCTGGAGGAACAGGTGGAGGTCATCTAGCCAAAATTCAAACTTAAATGGGCGGCCCTAAACGTCAAAGGTGAGAATAGAGGGAGTGGCCATAGTGGCTGTAGCAGTAGCAGTAATAGTAGTAGAAGCAGTAGTAGGAGCAGTAAGAGTAGTAGCAGTAGCAGTTGCAACAGTAGGTGCTGCAGGTGGGGCGGCGCGGCTCGGTTAGGGCGGCGGGGCTCGGGCGGCGCGGCTCGGTCAGGGCGGCGCGGCTCGGGCGGCGCGGCTCGGGCAGGTAGGGCGGCGCGACGGCGGGCCTAGTGACAGTGCGCGGCGGCGCCTAGGGTGTAGCTGCGCGTGGGCCGCTGCTGCGTTCGTGCGGGCGGCAGCGATCGTGCGGGCGGCGAGCTAGCACGAGCGGCGGCCTAAGGGGACGCGGCGGCGGCACGGGGCGGTCGACGAGCGGCTGACGGGCCGCGCTAAGGGCCGCCCGAGGCCAGAGCGGGCGGCGTGTGGGCGGCGACGACAGCACGAGCAGCTAGCGGGCCGCGCACCCAAGAAACAGGCCGCGCGCGGGCGGCTAGCGAGCGACGCGACCTAAAAACAGGCCGCGCGCGCGGGCTTCTAGCGGCTGCACACGGGCAGCTTAAGACAAAACGAAGGCGCACGAGGGCGCACTAGGAGCGAGGCGCACGAGGGCGCTAGGAAGGGACGGCGCACGAGGGCGCTTCGACCGGAAACGGTGGGCCCTTAGAAACGGTCCTAGGTTCCTAACCTAGGCTTGTAATACCATGTCATAATGAAAGAAGTGAATGAACTACACAACATTGCAGTACAAGTATGAAACCTTAGAATTGTGTACCCCCTAAAGGCTAACCCACTATAGCCTACACAGCAATAACACATATATAGTGTTTGGCATTAGCAGCACCCGAAGAGTGGTCATCTTCGGGGTGGGAGAGAAGGTCTGAAAGTAGTCAACTCCCTGCCGCTGACTGAAGCCTCGAGCCACGTAACGCGCCTTGAAGACAGGCGGAGAACCCGGCGGCCGCTTCACCCTGAAAATCCACATGCCACTGACGATGTTCGCCCCAGGTGGGGGAACCTCGTCGACGTAGGTGCCTGTGGACTTCCAGGAAGCCATCTCTGCGTCCATGGCTGACTGCCACTGTGAGGAGTAGGGACCCTTGATCGCCTCAGCGTACGATCGAGGAGTCGGGATGTCTGGTGCATCTGGGTCTCCCTCAGGGGCAATCAGCGTGGACACGAGATGAGGCAAAGCAGCAGCAAAACATTGGAACTCCTCTTGCCTGTCCTCAAAGACGTCCGTGCTAAGAGCACACTCACCCCCGACGGACGGAGGACAGACAGACTCAGACTCAGCAACGAGACTAGAGCCGTAGTCTAGACAACAGCGAGCAGTAAAGTCGACAAGCTCAGCAACTAAGGTAGACGCAGCAGTGGACTCAAAGGAAGGGTCAACAAAAACTGTAGCCAGGAGACGCGTGACAGTAGGACTGGCAGCACGACGAGAGTCAGACTCCGGGTCAGCAAGAACAGGAAGAGAGGACTATGGAGGAGACGGCAACGGGACACGCAGAGGAGCAGTGGAAGGACGCAGTGTCATCTGGTGTGTGCCTGGGACCGCAGGAGGACGCAGACGCGGAGCACGAGCACTAGTGCGAGCAGCACGAACAGGCGACGCAGGACGAGACGCAGGCGCACGACGCTCAGCAAGACCTCCAGTAGGACTAGTGTAGGGAGAAGGAGCAGGCAGGAGGGAGGCGGGCTGTAACAGTGACTGCGAATGGACAGGCAGTGGACACTCTAAGGGAGGAGTAGGACCAGTAGAAGACGGGAGACCAAGAACCTGCTCAAGGAGCGGAACGAAGTACGGCCGCGGCCGCGCAACGCCTCCAGAACCAGCAGGGACAGTACCAGTACCCCCACCGGCAGCACCAGCGCCAGCAGCACCTCCAGCTCCAACAGCGCCAACTCCAGCACCCTCAGAAGCACCAGCGCCAGCAGAATCACCAGCGCCAACACCCCTAGCAGCTCCAGCTCCAGGAGCTACAGCAGCACCGACTCCAGCAGGACTAACTCCAGCAGCCCCAGCAGCACCACCAGTCCCAGCAGCTCCAGTACCGCCAGTACGAGCACCTCCAGGACCAGCAGCAACAGTAGTACCTCCAGCTCCAGCAGCACCGCTCTAGCGCCGGGCAAACCACTCGCGCAGCTCCTGCGGAGAGAGTAGCTCCCGCCTCGATGAAGCACCGCGAGAGGCCACACGAGCAGACCCAGCACCCCCAGGCTCCGCACCCCCAGGCTCAGTACCCCCAGGCTCAGCACCCCCAGACTCAGCACCCCCAGGCTCAGCACCCCCAGACTCAGCACCCCCAAGCTCAGCACCCCCAAACTCAGCACCCCCAGGCTCAGCACCCCTAGACCCAGCACCCCCAGGCTCCGCAACCCCAGGCTCAGCACCTCCAGACCCGGCACCCGCAGGCTCAGCACCTCTAGCAGCACCAGAGTCAACAGCTACCTCGACAGGCTCGACTGCGTCTACCTGGGACACACCTGACGGGGCAGGATCTTGAGGGGGGGAAGGGGGTCTACCGGGGGAGGACCTGGCGCAAGGAATAGCGGCGGCGGGGGGAGCGGCGCAGTGCGGTAGGGGAAGAGACGGTAGTTAGGCACCGACTCGTCAAAGGTGACAGCCTGGGAGGACAGAACATGGCACGAGGTGGGGTGGTAAAACTGCCAACCAGGCGCGTCAGGGGGGAAGCCAAGGAAGACGCAGGGAATAGCATAGGGGGACAGCTTGTCCGCAGACAAGTCGTGAACAAACGCCCGAGATCCCCAGACACGAAACGCAGACGCATCGCCAACCTTCCCCGTCCACCACAAGGTGGGGGAGGTCTCTGGCAAGGAGACCTGGGGCTGAAGGTTGAGCTGATGCGCGGCGTACTGAACCGCAAACGGCCACAGAAAATGGGGGGGAGCCGCATGGATCATGGACGTACGAGCGACGTCCATGATCATGCCAATGCGGCGCTCAGCAATCCTGTAGATCAGCTCCACTCACCAAGTTCGTAGAGAACGAGGGAAGGTAGAGACCTGACAAGGTGCCAGAGGGGGCTGCCGGACACGGTAAGACAGTGGAGAAGCTAGCAAGGACAGGACCCCCAGAGGGGTCCGCCAAGGAGACCGCAACGGCCGACTAAGCGGCGTAAGCGTGGTGCGGTCTCGAAAGAAGGAGCGGGAAGCACCCGAGTCAACGGTGAAGGTGTGTAAGGCCTGAGCCGACGTGGTACCTGAGAGAGCAGACTCACCAGCACCTGGGGCAGCAGACGCACTAGCACCTAGAGCAGCAGCCTCACAAGCACCTAGAGCAGCAGCCTCAATGCGTGGGTCAGGCGGAACATACAGGTAACAGTCACCCTCATCACTAGTAGACACAAAATACATGGCAGCAAGAATAGCATCATAATCAAGGTCAAAGATAGCAACCCCCGCCCTAAGCAGCTCGCCCCAGCGAGGGATCTCAGTGGCGTCAGGGAACTGGAGACGCCAGGCGTCCGTTAGGCGGCCGAAGCAGCGCTGGGTGGTGTGCGGGCCACCGCACGGCTCACCCGTGCTGTCGCCGGTACGCAGGACGTAGGCACAGGGACCAGCACCCCCACCCCGCTGACGCGCAGTGTACCACTCACGAAGCTGCTGGGGGGGGCGGGGTCTCACGAGTGCGCTCTCGCTGCTGGCGCTGACCACCACCGGAACCACTCCTCTGCGCAGAGCTGCGACCAGCTCCTCCGTTGCCGCCGCCGCCTCCGCCACCTCCGCCGCCTTCGCCACCTCCGCTCCCGCCGCAGCCTCCTTCGTCTCCACTACTGCCACTGACACCTCCTCCCCCGCCACCACTCCCACCACGACCCCCACCCCCTCCACTGCCTCCACCACCACCTCCACCGCCCCTGCCAGCCCCTCCAGTGCCCTTGCCCCCCTTGCCCTTGCCGGTGCGGCGTCTCCCGCTAGGGGCAGACGCAGCGCCTACCGACTCGAAGCCAACGAGGTCGGCCGCAGCAGTAGAAGCAACAGAGGGCAAGAGGGGGGAGGGGGAACACCCCTCAAAGACTGAGGTGCGAGGGTCACCACGAGAGGCTCCTACAGCGACTATGCTCTTCTCTATTGCTAGGAGGCGCTCCTCGAGGAGGTCAACGGTGAGTGTGGTGGGGCAAACTGAGAGGAAGTGGTCCCTGACTAAGCGAAGGGAGTCAGGGAGCCAGGTGACTATGTAGTAGAGGGTGATGTACATGGGGGGGGGGGTTCTTGGCACAGAACTCAGCAGGAAGCGCAGCGCGGTAGCGAGTGTCACTAGTGTGAAGGTGCGTAATGAGGTCAGCGACTGTGGGAAAGCCAGCAAGGTCAGGGAACAGGTACGGCAGCATGAGGCGGCTAAGAGCAGTAGTGGCAGGGGAAGAGTAGCGTGCATCTACAGCGTCGTACAAGGTCTTAGCACTCTTGTACTGACTAAAGTGCGCACGCTCAGTGGTCGGTAAGTGGCGACGCACAGCAAGATGGGCAGCAACATCGCGTGTGGCCCACTGTGAGCGAACAGTGCTGTCAGCATCAGTAGGCGGGACAGGAGAGGCCCCAGAGGTGAGATCGAACAGGGAGAGTCCGTCTGCCCTATCGCACTGTAGGAACAACTGGAGGTCATCGACCCAGACTTCAAAGTCAAGAGCACGACCCTCAGCATCATAGGTAAGGACACTAGGGGTAGCCATGACAGCAGTGGTCTAGCAGGGAGTGATCTCACCAGTCCAAGTGAGTAGGGCCGGGGCGCACTGGTAGGAACAGGGCTGTAACCGTGGTGGCAGCGGCTCGGCAGTGACAGTAGCGGCTCGACGGCAGGGCGGCTCGGCGGCTCGGCTGCTGGGCGGCTCGGCGGCTCGGCTGCTGGGCGGCTCGGCTGCTGGGCGGCTCGGCTGCTCGGTAGGGGCGGCGACGGGGCCAGTAGGGGCGGCGACTAGGCCGCGTAGGGGTCGGCGACGGGGCCGGTAGGGGCGGCGACGGGGCCGGTAGGGGCAGCGAAAGGGCCGCGAGGGGCGGCGACGCGGCTGCGAGGGGCGGCGACGGGGCCGCGAGGGGCGACGACGGGGCCGCTAGGGGCGGCGACGGGACCGCTAGGGGCGGCGACGGGGCCGCGAGGGGCGGCGACGGGGCCGCGAGGGGCGGCGACGGGGCCGCTAGGGGCGGTGATGGGGCCGCGTATGGGCGGCGACGGGGCCGCTAGGGGCGGCGACGAGGCCGCGAAGGGGCGATGACGGGGCCGCGTAGGGTCGGCGACGGGGCCGCTAGGGGCGGAGACGGTGCCGCTAAGGGCGACGACGTGGCCGCGGAGGGGTGGCGACGGGGCCGGTAGGGCGGCGACGTGGCCGCTAGGGGGTGGTGATGGGGCCGCTAGGGGCGGCAACAGGGCCGCATAGGGGCCGCGAGGGGCCTGAAAGGGCAACGACGGGGCCGCTAAGGGCGGCGACGGGGATGCTAAGGGTGGCGCGAGGGGCCGTGAAAGGGGCCTCTAGGACGGCTCGACAGAAGGGGGGCCCACGGGGCGCGCCTCGCGCAGGAGCGACTGGCGCTCCGGTCAGGAAAAAAAAAAAAAAAAATCAGTGGTGGGCCCAAGGAAGGGTTCCCACTAGGGAACCTGCTCTATACCATGTGAAGAAACGAGAATGAATGAACTAGCAAGCAGGTGGGTACAAGTAGGAAAACCTAGAAATGTTGTACCCCATATTGTCTACCCCACTACAACTTATACAGACTATAGCATATAAGTTTGACACTTCGCGCCTGCCCTAGTCGCGCGCCGTGCGCCTGCCCTCCCGTCGCGTCCTCTGTCCTTAGCAGCCCGTCGCGCCCTCTTAAGGCCCCTTCGTGGCCCCTCTCACGGCCCTTCGCGGCCCCTTCGCGGCTCCCTCGCGGCCCCTACGCGGCCCTTCGTGGCCCCTCTCACGGCCCCTCGCGGCCCCTCGCGGCCCCTCGCGGCCCCTTCGCGGCCCCTCGCGGCCCGTTCTCGGCCCCGTCGCTGCCCTTCGCGGCCCCTTCACGGCCCCTCGTGGCCCCTTCTCGGCCCCTTCGCCGCCCTTAGCGGCCCCTTCGCGGCCCCTCTGCGGCCCTTCGCGGCCCTTTGTGGCCCTTCGCGGCTCCTTCACGGCCCCTCCGCGGCTCCTTCGCAGCTCTTCACGGCCCTGCCGCCCCGCCGTCGCCGCCCCAGCAGCAGCTACCGTCGCGCGTGCTGCCACTGCTGCTTTTTCTACGACTGGTCGTCGCCGCCGCTGCTGCCGTGTCAGCCGGCGCCGCTCCTGCCGTGACGGCCGCCGCCGTCGTCCTGGCCCGGCCCTGCAGCGGAGGCGCGGCACTCCTCTGCCGCCCTGTTGCGGCCCTGTCCCTGCCGGCGCGCCTCGGCCCTGCCCCACCCCTTGCGGACCTCTACCCACCCGCCCCTGGTAAGAGCACCGCCGAGCCGCGCCTCTCCTGCTGAGCTGCTCCTAGCCTGCTGCTACCACTGCTAGCGTGTTGCTGCTGCTGCTAGCCTGCTGCTGCTGCTATCATGGCTACCCCAAGTGTTCTCACCTTTGATGCTGAGGGTCGGGCTGTCAACTTTGAGGTCTGGGTCGATGATCTGCAGCTTTTCCTGCAGTGCGATAGAAAAGATGGTCTCTCACTGTTCGATCTCACGTTTGGCGCCTCTGCTACCCCTGCTGCCGATGCTGACAGTACTGTTCGCTCACAGTGGGTCTAACGCGATGCTGCTGCCCGTCTTGCTGTGCGTAGTCACCTGCCGTCCACTGAGCGCGCACACTTTAGTCAGTACAAGAGTGCTAAGACCTTGTACCACGCTGTAGTTGCACGCTACTCTTCCCCTCCCACTGCTGCCCTTAGTTGCCTCATGCTGCCGTTCGTGTTCCCTGACCTCGCCGCCTTTCCCACAGTCACTGACCTCATTACGCACCTTCACACTAGTGACACCCGCTACCGCGCTACGCTTCCTGCTGAGTTCTGCGCCAAGAACCCCCCCCCCCCCCCCCATGTACATCACCCTCTACTACCTAGTCACCCGGCTCCCTGACTCCCTTCGCTCGGTCAGGGACCACTTCCTCTCTGTTTGCCCCACCACACTCACCGTTGACCTCCTCGAGGAGCGCCTCCTGGCAGCTGAGAAGAGTATAGTCGCTGTAGGAGCCTCTCGTGGTGACCCTTGTACCCCCTTCTTTGAGGGATGCTCCCCCTCCCCCCTTTTGCCCTCTGTTGCCTCTGCTGCTGCTGTCGACCTCGTTGGCACCGAGTCGGTCGGCGCTGCGTCTGCCCCTAGCGGGAGACGCCGCAACGGCAAGGCCAAGGGGGGTAAGGGCGCTGGAGGAGCTGGCGGGGGCGGTAGAGGTGGTGGTGAAGGTGGCGGTGGAGGTGACGGAGGGGGTGGGGGTGGCGGTGGGAGTGGTGGCGGGGATGGGGGCTTCGGTGGCGGCGGTGGAGGCGGAGGTGACGGCGGTAGTGGCGGTGGGAGCAGAGGAGGCGGCAGTGGCAGCGGTGGCGGCGGCGGCGGTGGAGCTAGTCGGGGTGGCTCTGTGTAGCGGGGCGGCTTCGGTGGTGGTCAGCGCTAGCAGCACCAGCGCACTCGTGAGACCCCGCCCCCCCCAGCAGCTTCGTGAGTGGTACACTGCGCGTCAGCGGGGTGGGGGTGCTGGTCCTTGTGCCTACGTCCTGCGTACCAGCGACCGCACGGGTGAGCTGTGCGGTGGCCCGCACACCACCTAGCGCTGCTTCGGCCGCCTGACGAACGCATGGCGTCTCCAGTTCCCTGGCGCCACTGAGATCCCTCGCTGGGGCGAGCTGCTTAGGGCGGGGGTTGCTATCTTTGATCTTGATTATGATACTATTCTTGCTGCCATGTATGTTGTGTCTACTAGTGATGACGGTGACTGTTACCTGTGTGTTCCGCCTGACCCGGGCATTGAGGCTGCTGCTCTAGGTGCTGGTGAGGCTACTGCTCCAGGTGCTAGTGCGTCTGCTGCTCTAGGTGCTGGTGAGTCTGCTGCCCCACCTGCTGGTGAGTCTGCTCTCTCAGGTACCACGTCGGCTCAGGCTTTACACACCTTCACCCTTGACTCGGGTGCTTCCTGCTCCTTCTTTCGAGACCGCACCACACTCACGCCGCTTAGTCGGCCGGTTGCAGTCTCCTTGGCAGACCCCTCTGGGGTCCTGTCCTTGCCCACTTCTCCACTGTCTTGCCGTGTCCGACGGCCCCTTCTGGCACCCTGTCAGGTCTTTACCTCCCCTCGTTCTCTACGAACTTGGTGAGTGGTGCTGATCTACAGGATGGGGGGGGTTGACCAGTTCACTCCTGCGAGTCAGCGAGTGACCCACTGCACGTATGCTCGGACGGGCCGACACTTGGCCACGTTTACTCGTCAGCCGGGGTCGAGCCTGTACACACTTACTACTGAGTCTCCTCCGGTTGCTGCATTCTGTCAGGTAGCTGCGTCTGGTCAGGTAGCTGCGTCGGGTCAGGTGTTTGCTGCAGCGTCCAGGTCTGGTCCTGAGTCTGCCCCCTGCTCGTGTCGTCTCCTGTCTCACCAGACTCTCCTGTGGCACCACCGCCTTGGTCACCCCTCCTTGCCTCGTCTTCAAGGCATGGCCTCCCGTGTCCTTGTCTCTGCTCTTCCCCGGTCCCTCCCTCCTCTTCCTCCGGGGCCTGCCCCTACCTGCGTTCCCTTCGTCGAGGGGTGGCAGCGCGCCGCTCCTCACTCCTCCGAGTTTCCTCCGACAGAGGCTCCTCTGCAGACACTTCACCTCGACGTGTAGGGCCCCGCCCGCGTCTGTAGACAGGGTCACGAGCGATACTTCCTGCTGGTAGTTGACGACTACTCGCGTTACACCACAGTCTTCCCCTTCCGCAGCAAGGGTGAGGTGACTGAAGTGTTGATTGACTGGATCCGCGCAGCTCGTCTCCAGCTCGGAGAGAGTTCTGGCTCGGACTTTCCTGTTCTGCGTTTGCACTCCGAGAGAGGCAGAGAGTTCTCCTTTTGCGAGCCTTTTGTCGTGCACGGGGCATCTGCCAGACGTTCACGCTTTCGGCCTCTCCACAGCAAAATGAGATTGCTGAGCCACGCATTGGCATGGTCATGGACGTCGCTTGTACGTCCATGATCCATGCGGCTGCTCCCCATTTTCTGTGGCCGTTCGCGGTTCAGTACGCGGCGCATCAGATCAACCTTCAGCCCCGGGTCTCCTTGCTGGAGACCTCCCCTACTCTTCGGTGGACGGGGAAGGTTTGCGATGCGTCTGCGTTTCGTGTCTGGGGATCTCGGGCTTTTGTCCGCGACTTGTCTGCGTACAAGCTGTCCCCCCCGTGCTGTTCCCTGCGTCTTCCTTGGCTTCCCCCCTGACGCGCACGGGTGATTCGTCCCGGCGGGAGCTACCCTCTCTACAGGAGCTGCGCGAGTGGTTTGCTCGGCGCTGGAGCCGTGCTGCTGGAGCTGAAGGTTCTACTGCTGCTGAGGGTACTGGTGCCACGGGTCCCGGAGGTGCTCGTACTGGAGGTACTGGAGCTACTGGGCTTGGGGGTGCTCCTTGTGCTGGAGCTGCTGGCTGTGCTGGAGCTGGCGGTGCTGCTAGGGTAGGTGCTGCTGGAGCTGCTGGAGCTGGAGCTGTTGAGTCTTCCGGTGGTCCTGTTGGAGCTGGAGCTGCTGGGGGTGTTAGTGCTGGAGGTGCTGCTAGCGCTGGTGCTTCTGAGGGTGCTGGAGTTGGCGCTGCTGGGGCTAGGTGTGCTATTGGCGCTCGTGCTGCCGCTGGGGGTGCTGGTGCTGTACCTGCTGGTTCAAGAGGCGCTGTGCGGCCGCGGCCGTACTTCGTTCCGCTCCTTCAGCAGGTTCTTGGTCTCCCGCCTTCTGCTGGTCCTGCCACTTCCTTAGAGTGTCCACCACCTGTCCAGTCCGAGTCACAGTTACAGCCCGCCTCCCCACTGCCTGCTCCTTCTCCCTACACTAGTCCTACTCGAGGTCTTGCTGAGCGTCGTGTGCTTGCGTCTCGTCTTGTGTCGCCTGTTCGTGCTGCTCGCACTAGTCCTCGTGTTCCGCGTCAGCGTCCTCCTGCGGTCCAAGGCACGCACCAGATGGCACTGCGTCCTTCCACTGCTCCACTACGTGTCCCTTTGCCGTCTCCTCCGGAGACCTCTCTTCCTGCTGTTGCTGACCCGGAGTCTGACTCTCTTCGTGCTGCCAGTCCTACTGTCACGCGTCTTCTGGCTACTGTTGTCACCGACCCTTCCTTTGAGTCCACTGCTGCGTCTTCCCTAGTTGCTGAGCTTGTCGAGTTCGCTGCTCGCTGTCGTCTAGACTTCGCCGCTATTCTTGTTGCTGAGTCTGAGTCTGTCTGTCCTCCGTCCGTCGGGGGTGAGTGTGCTCTTAGCATGAACTTCCTTGAGGACAGGCAGGAGGAGTTCCAGTGTTTTGCTGCTGCTTCACCTCATCTCGTCTCCATGCTGATTGCACCTGAGGGAGACCCGGATGCACCAGACATCCCGACTCCGCGCTCTTACGCAGAGGCGATAGAGGGTCCCTACTCCTCTCAGTGGCAGTCAGCCATGGACGTAGAGATGGCTTCCTGGAAGTCCACAGGCACCTACGTCGACGAGGCTCCCCCACCTGCGGCGAACATCGTCAGTGGCATGTGGATTTTCAGGGTGAAGCGGCCGCCGGGTTCTCCGCTTGTCTTCAAGGCGCGTTACGTGGCTCGAGGCTTCAGTCAGCGGCAGGGAGTTGACTACTTTCAGACCTTCTCTACCACCCCGAAGATGACCACTCTTCGGGTGCTGCTGCACATAGCCGCTCAGCGCGACTACGTGCTTCACTCTCTTGACTTCAGCACTGCTTTCCTACAGGGCAGCCTGCACGAGGAGATCTGGATGCGTCGCCCACCTGGCTTCACTGGGTCATTTCCTGCATGTACCCATTGGAGCCTCCGGCGGCTAGTCTATGGTCTCCGCCAGGCGCCCCGTGAGTGGCACGACACACTGAGGACTACACTTGCGGCTCTTGGGTTTGCTCCTTCTACTGCTGACCCGTCGCTGTTTCTACGCACCGACACCTCTTTGCCGCCGCTCTACATCCTCTGTCTTTGCTACTACTGACACTGCCGGACTCGCCCACGTGAAGTCCGAGCTACAGAAGAGACACACGTGCACAGGCCTGGGTGAACTGCGCAGCTACCTTGGCTTGCAGATCACCCGGGACAGAGCACAGCGCACCATTACCGTGACTCGGTCACACATGGTGCAGCAGGTGCTTCAGCGCTTCGACTTCACGTACTCCTCGCCTCAGGCCACTCCTCTGTCTACTCGCCACTCGCTCTCAGCTCTGTCTTCGGATGAGTCTGTAGAGCCGAGTGGCCCGTACCCAGAGCTTGTTGGCCGCCTCATGTGCGTGATGACCTGCACTCGACCTGACCTTGCATACCCTCTTAGCATCTTGGCACGCTATGTTGCTCCTTGGAGACACCGACCAGAGCACAGGCTGCAGCGAAGAGGGTGTTGCGCTACTTGTGCAGTACGTCGGGCATGGGGCTTTTGCTTGGAGGGCAGAGTCCAGTGGTCCTCACTGGTCACGCAGACGCTTCTTGGGCGGACGACCAGGCTACGCAGCGGTTGTCACAGGGTTACACCTTCAGCCTTGGTTCCGGCTCTGTTTCGTGGTGGTCTACCCGCTCGTCTTCTGTTCTCAGCTCCAGTTGTGAGGCTGAGATCTATGCAGGGGCCATGGCTGCACAGGAGTTACGCTGGCTCACCTCCCTGCTGACCGACCTAGGAGAGCCGCCTCATTCTCCTCCAGTTCTGTACGTAGACAACAAGGCCATGCTGGCCTTGTGTCGGGAGCACAGACTAGAGCACTGAACAAAGCACATTGCTCTTCACTACTTCCTTGTTTGTGAGCTACAGCAGCGTGGTCAGCTGCGCCTTGCTTACATGGCCTCTCGGGCCAACACTGCGGATATCTTTACCAAGGCACTTCAGCCTTGTGATCATTAGCGCTTTTGTATGATGCAAGGTCTTGTGCCTACTTGGCCTCACTTGCTCACTTCTTGACCTTGCTTGTACTGTGATCCTTCTATACCTGCACTTGCTTGTTTACCTTTATATATAAACCTGCATGTGAACTGGCCTTGTGGCCTTGAACTGGTGTTCGGAATGTGTGGTGACCTTGTGATCCACCCTGAGCTTGCTTTGCTTGACTGGTCTTGTGACCCCTAGTTCTCCCCCACTTTGCCTATGGGGGTGTGTCAGATATATATGGCATAGTGTTTGTAGGCTCTAGTGGGGTAGACACTAAGGGGTACAGGTTTCTAGGGTTTCATATTTGTATCACACACTTTCCTAGTTCATCCATTCCTCATTATTTCACAATTCAATATATTTAGTTTCTGAGATGTGTTAATATCGATACCAGGGGTAAAACGTATTTGGTCCTCACCTCAAAATCAAACATTGTTCTTATTGATTGGTGATACGCTCATAAGAAACGAGGTATGGGTCCTTCGCATGCAGATGGGCGACAAGAACACATTTCTTCGATCATCAAAGCAACTGCGTCATTGCTGGTGTCGATGTCTATCGGCTGTATATGCGTTAGCAGCACATCCTAAGCTCGCGGCATCACACGTCTCAACAGTTAGCAGCAACAGTTTTTCCGTAACGATCGCATCGCCTTGCAAATTATTATCGTACACAATAACGTGCTATACGCGCACCCGATCTGTTCTCTCACCCAACGCCATGCCAAGGTAGGGACTTATCGCGATTTATTGAAGTTGCTTTTTGCGTAGATACTGTGAAGTGGCCTTGAGCAACTCGCCAAATCCATACACATCTATGATGAGGCATTCAAAAACAGTTCGCGACAAAAAAAGGATAAATAACACATTTTTATCATTAGAATGCTTACTATGTATAATAGCTTTTCCCCTGATCGATCTAGAGACTTGGCGTTCCTACCTCTTGCATGAACCCAAACTGCAATCTTCAATGCAGTTATGAGATGAAGGGTGATCTTGTCGAGTCCTTTTTCTCATTCAGTAACGTTTGACGCATCTTCCGTATCTACTTCACCTTCATTGAAGCGGACATTTATATGTGTTGTGGAGTGTTGATGGATGCGGATGCTTTGCTTCTGCATGTCACGACCACCATCTCAACTCTTGCCAGGTGTCGTGTTAGCATTGTCCTCATCATGCTCCATATAGATTTTGCAATTTTACATAGGAAATATGTTGTTAGTGTGTGAAGACAAGCCACATGAATAAACCTTCCCACGAAGTCTTGTATCGCGTGTGGCTGTTGAAAAGGCAACTTTGAAATCGCGAGTTTTTGAAGAGGGAGGGGGGGGGGGGGGGGGGGGGGGGGAGGGGGGGGTTCCTAATCTTCATTGGCCAATTTGTTGACGGGACTAGCCTCACACGTGAAGCATAGCTTCCATCAACGCCCTTTTGTCGCACGCCACTTTCGGGGGGCTTGCGCTTCGAGGAACTCTAATCCCATGCAACATCCGCCGATTGAAGTGTTGGATCGGTTGCCTTGGGAGCTGGTTTCATGGCAACGGAAGGTGTTGAGGCGAGACCTCTAGTTGTGGGCAATATAGGCCCTTTGACACGCGTCTGGCCAGAGTTGACAAAAAGCTCGTTCCCCACAAGCATAGCATCTATCTTTATGAATCCGAGACACGTTTGCGGGGGAGAGCGAGGTCGTTGTTTGCGAGATGCATCATCGTCACCTTACATTGCATCTAGAATGTCTACAACTGAAAGAGTCGAACACAAGAGAGCGTGTAGGGGCGGGGGTATATGTAACATCCCATACCCTCTATAGTGCAAAACAACATAGCCTACAAAGTATACATAACAAAATGCATATGCGTACACTAACGTGGAGCCATAAATAGGGGATTGAGAGTGTGGTGGGTACGAAATTTAACTTAATGAGCTAGCGTGCGGTGTGAGAATCGTAGGTAGAGTGAGGAGCCATAGCTAGGGTTAGCTAGCTAGGCAAGAGAGAAATGAAGAAAGGAGGAGGTTTCACTAGCAGCAGTTGGGATACATATAGCAAACCCTAACAGGGCTGTACTCGCTATAGTGCACCCCACTACAGGCTAGATAATAACATTCTGACACACCCCCATAGCCAAAGTGGGGTGTAATCAGCAGAGCACACAGTCATAGAGCAGGTTCACAATGGAAAGCAAAGCTAGAGGCTATCACAGAGGGCAAGTGAGGAGGAGGAGAGCACTTTGGACGGATAGAAGATGGGAGGCAACGACGGAAGCTGCAGAGGCACGGGCACAGGAACGACTGACTCAGTGGCTACCGAAGCAAGGGCGACGGACTACTGGAGTGACTGGCTCCACGGCTATAGACGAGCGGCAAGAGCAACGGACCCACTGGCGACTGGTGCAACAGGCTCACTGGCTACCGAAGCAAGGGCGACGGACTACAGGCGCTGCAGGCGACACGACAGCTACCTCCACACAACCTCCTCCAACTGACCCACACCCTTGACACACACCCCCTGCTGAACCCCTAACTCCACTCCCACGTAACCCCCCTAGCACCACTCCTTCACCGCGCCTCGAGCGCACGGCGGAAAGAAAAACCAAAAAAAAAAAAAAAAAAAAAATCGCACGCCACGGGGCATGCAACAGACAGAGTAGCAGCGGAAGCAGTTAGGTGGGCCCACAGGCCAGGAGCGTAGATGCTCTGATAGCATGTGAGAATCGTAGGTAGAGTGAGGAGCCATAGCTAGGGTTAGCTAGCTAGGTAAGAGAGAAATGAAGAAAGGAGGAGGTTTCACTAGCAGCAGTTGGGATACATATAGCAAACCCTAACAGGGTTGTACTCGCTATAGAGCACCCCACTACAGGCTAGATAATAACATTCTGACATGCGGAGGGAGGAGTTGGGAGGCTACAGCCAGAGCTAGGGTAGATGAATCATGAAACTGAAGTCTATGTGAAAAAAGTGGAAGACGAGATAATCTTATATCGTGCTTGTGCCTGTTTGCAGCTATTATGTATCTTGGCGGTCGGGGGTCAGGACGTAAAGGAGACGCGCACAATCACAAAATACAATATTTTGCTAATGATTGTTGCAAAAAGGTCAGCGATGTGTGTGCTATAACCCCCGTCATCCCGATGTATTCATTAGTGTTAGATTCAATCCTACCCATCCGCATCAACCCAATAGCATGCGACCATACCAATTATTAGGCCTGTATGAAATATTGTTTTTTCAAACGGACCTACACTAAACAAGTCTATCGAAAAAAGGAGTAGAGACCCCTACCCTGCTTTATTGTAAGGGTCATAAGGGTGATTCACCATGTTAGCAAGCAGAAGTGGGCCTTAAGCGCGGTCCACAGCGAGATGACTCAGTGGTGCCGCGCGCGCATGGTTCAGGTCTTCCGCGAAATCCCCACCTTGATGCCTCTTCATACGTACAACACCGCCCAATGGCTTTGGAAGATACACCGGTTGAACAGTGTTGTATATGTATAGCAGGAGGAGGGCGAGGAGGAGGGAAAAGAGGAGGGCGAGGAGGGATTGGGCAAGGTGAGGGCGAGGAGGAGGGAAAGGAGGGAGGCGAGGAGGGATTGGGCGAGGAGGAGGGCGAGGAGGGCAAGGAGGATGGCAAGGAGGAGAACAAGGAGGAGAGAAAGGAAGAGTGCGAGACGGAGGCCTGTATGAAAGATTGTTTTTTTTTTTTTTTTTTTAAGAAGGACCTACACCAAACATGTCTATCGAAAAAGGATAGAGGCCCCTACCCTGCCTTATTGTAAGGGTCACAAGGGTGATTCACCATGTTTGCAAGCAGGAGCGGGCCTTAAGCGTGGTCCAGAGCAAAATGACTCGGTGGTGCCGCGCGCGCATTGTTCAGGTCTTCTGCGAAAACCCTACCGTGACGCCTCTTCAGGCGTACAACGCCGTCCAATGGCTCTGGAAGATACACCGGTTGAGCACTGTTGTATAGGTAAAGCAGGAGGAGGAGGGCGGGGAAGAGGGAAAAGAGGAGGGCGAAGAGGGATTGGGCAAGGAGGACGACGAGGAGGACGGAAAGGAGGAGGGCGAGGAGGGAAAGGAGGGCGAGTAGCGCGATGAGGATGGCAAGGAGGAGGGCAAGGAGGAGAGAGAAGAAGAGTGTGAGGAGGAGGAGGCATGTATGAAAGATTGTTTTCTTCAAAAGAAGGACCTGCACCAAACAAGTCTATCAAACAATGTAAAGAATCCCCTACCCTGCCTTATTGTAAGGGGCATAAGGGCGATTCACCATGTTACCAAGCAGAAGCGGGCCTTAAGCGCGGTCCAGAACGAGATGACTCGGTGGTGCCGCGCGCATGGCTCAGGTCTTTTGCGAAAAACCCACCTTGACGCCTCTTCAGGCGTACAATGCCTCCCAATGGCTCTGGAAGATACACCGGTTGAACAGTGATGTACATGTAAAGCAGGAGGAGCAGGGCGGGGAGGAGGGAAAAGAGGAGGGCGAGGAGGGATTGGGCAAGGAGGAGGGCGAAGAGGGTGAGGAGGATGGCAAGGAGGAGGGCAAGGAGGAGAGAGAGGAAGAGTGCGAGGAGGAGGGCTGCGGGGAGGGGGAGGAGGAGGGCAGGGAGGAGAGCGACAAGGAGGGTGCGGAAGAGGGTGAGGAGAATGTAGAGGGGGGTGAGGATGAAGAAGGTGTACAAGGTGATGACGATGTTCAGGAGGTGCAGCTCGTACGAGTGGCGGGTGATGGAGATGTGAGGGTGCGAAAATTGTGGAGATGAAAGGGGGTGGTAGTGCAAGCAACATTTGGCACGCGTGGTAGAGGCAGAAAAGTGAGGGCAGTGGAGACTCGCATAAGTGAGGCACAGGTGGATGCGAGTCAGACGTAGACTCAACTTCATGAGGAAAGTAGAACGAGAATGAATTGACTAAGGAATGGGAGTGATACAAATATGCAACCCTAGAAATGTGTACCCCATACGGACTACCCCACTATAGCCTACACAATATTATAATTTGACACACCCCCATAGGCAAAGTGGGGGAGAACAAGGGGTCACAAGACCAGTCAAGCAAAGCAAAGCAAATCTCAGGGTGGATCACAACGTCACCAGACAGTCCGAGCATAAGGTCAAGGCCACAAGGCCAGTTCACATGCAGGAGTGCACATATATATATATATAAGACTAAACAAGCAAGAGCAGGTTTGTATATATGTAAACGTACAAGCAAGATCAAGAGGTGAGCAAGTGAGGGAAGACAGGCACAAGACCCAGCTGAGTGCAGAAGCGCTGATGATCACAAGGCGGAAGTGCCTTGGTGAAAACATCAGCAGTGTTGGCCTCAGAGGCCACGTACGCAAGTCGCAACTGACCACGCTGCTGCAGCTCACGAGCAAGAAAGTAGCGGAGAGCAATGTGCTTTGTTCTGTGCTCCAGACGCTGCTCCCGACACAAGGCTAGCATGGCCTTGTTGTCTACGTACAGCACCGGAGGAGAACGAGGCGGCTCTCCGAGGTCAGTCAGCAGGTAGGTAAGCCAGCGAAGCTCCTGTGCAGCCATGGCCCCGGCGTAGATCTCAGCCTCACAACTGGAGCCGAGAACAGAAGACGAGCGAGTAGCCCGCCACAAAACAGAGCCGGAACCAAGGCTGAAGGTGTAACCCTGTGACGACCGCTGCGTAGCCTGGTCGTCTGCCCAAGAAGCGTCCACGTGCCCAGTGAGGACCACTGGACTCCGCCCTCCAAGCACTAGCCCCATGCCCGACGTACTGCACAAGTAGCGCAACACCCTCTTCGCTGCAGCCATGTGCTCTGGTCTGTGTCTCCCAGGAGCAACATACCGTGCAAGAATGCTAAGAGGGTATGCAAGGTCAGGTCGTGTGCAGGTCATCAGGTACATGAGGCAGCCAACAAGCTCTGGGTACGGGCCACTCGACTCTACGGACTCATCCGAAGGCAGAGCTGAGAGCGAGTGGCGAGTAGACAGAGGAGTGGCCTGAGGCGAGGAGTACGTGAAGCCGAGGCGCTGAAGGACCTGCTGCACCATGTGTGACTGGGTCAGGGTAATGGTGCGGCGTGCTCTGTCCCGGGTGATCTGCAAGCCAAGGTAGCTGCGCAGTTCACCCAGGTCTGTGCACGTGTGTCTCTTCTGCAGCTCAGACTTCACGTGGGCGAGTCCACCAGTGTCAGCTGTGGCAAAGACCAAGTCGTCGACGTACACGAGGATGTAGAACGGCGGCAGAGAGGTGTCGGTGCGTAGAAACAGCGACGGGTCAGCAGTAGAGGGAGCAAACCCAAGAGCCGCAAGTGTAGTCCTCAGTGTATCGTGCCACTCGCGCGGTGCCTGGCAGAGACCGTAGACTGGCCGTCGGAGGCTCCACAGGGTGCCACGAGGGAAACTCCCAGTGAAGCCAGGTGGACGGCGCAACCAGATCTCCTCGTGCAGGCTACCCTACAGGAAAGAAGTGCTGAAGTCAAGGGAGTGAAGCTCGTAGTCACGCTGAGCGGCTATGTGTAGCAGCACCCAAAGAGTGGTCATCTTCGGGGTGGAAGAGAAGGTCTGAAAGTAGTCAACTCCCTGCCGCTAACTGAAGCCACGAGCCACGTACCGCGCCTTGAAGACAGGTGGAGAGCCCGGCGGCCGCTTCACCCTGAAGATCCACATCCCACTGACGATGTTCGCCCCAGGAGGGGGAACCGCGTCAACGTAGGTGCCTGTGGACTTCCAGGAAGCCATCTCTGCATCCATAGCTGCCTGCCACTGAGAGGAGTAGGGACCCTCTATCGCCTCCGCGTAAGAGCGCGAAATCGGGATGTCTAGTTTATCCGGGTCTCCCTCAGGGGTAAGCAGTACGGACACGAGATGAGGTGAAGCAGCAGCCAGACACTGGAACTCCTCCTGCCTGTCCTCAAGGACGTCCGTGCTAAGAGCACACTCACCCCCGACGGACGAAGGACAGACAGACGCAGCCTCGGCAACAAGACTAGCAGCGTAGTCTAGACGACAGCGAGCAGCAAAGTCGACGAGCTCAGCAACAAGAGCAGACGGGGCAGTGGACTCAAAGGAGGGGTCACTGACGACAGTAGCAAGGAGACGCGTGACAGTAGGACTGGCAGCACGAAGAGAGTCCGACTCAGGGTCGGCAAGCGCAGAAAGAGAGGACTCAGGAGGAGAGGGCAAAGGGGCATGCACAGGAGCAGTGGACGGACGCAGAGACATCCGGTGCGTGCCAGGGACAGGAGGAGGACGCTGACGCGAACTGCGACCACTAGTGCGAGCAGCACTAACAAGCGACGCAGGACGAGACGCAGGCTCACGACGCTCAGCAAGACCTCCAGTAGGACCAGTCTACGGAGAAGGAGAAGACAGTGGGGAGGCCGGCGGTAACTGTGACTGTGACTGGACAGGCGGTGGACACTCTAAGGGAGGAGGAAGACCAAGAACCTGCTGAAGGAATGGAACGAAGTACGGCCGAGGCCGCGCGGCGACTCTAGACACACCAGAGACAGCACCAGCACCCCCAGCGGCTGCACCAGCGTCAACACCACCTCCAGCTCCAGTACCTCCAGCAGCACCAGCAGCACCTGCAGCAGGACTGCCGCCAGGACTGACAGCAGTAGCCTCAGTGCCAACACCCTCAGCAGCTCCGACTCCAGTAGCACTCGCAGAACTAGCACCTCCGAGACCGGCGGCACCAGCACCCTCAGCAGCCGAAGAAGCACCAGCTCCAGTAGTACGCCTCCAGCGTCGGGCAAACCACTCGCGCAGCTCCTGTGGAGAGAGTGGCTCCCGCCGAGACGAAGCACCCGGAGAACCACCAGGCCCAGTACCGCCAGACGCCACACGAGCAGGTCCAGCGGCCACTGGCTCCGCACCCCCAGGCTCAGTAGCTCCAGACTCAGCACCCCCAGGCTCAGCAGCTCCAGACGCAGTACCCCCAGGCGAAGGACCCCCAGGCTCAGCACCCCCAGTCGTAGCACCCCCAGGCTCAGCACCCCCAGTCGTAGCACCCCCAGGCTCAGCACCCCCAGTCGCAGTACCTCCAGGCTCAGCACCCCCAGTCTCAGCACCCCCAGGCTCATCACCCCCTCGTGGATCACCCCCAGAGTCAGCACCCCTAGGCTCAGCACCCGCAGCAGTACCAGAGTCACCAGCAACCTCGACCGGCTCGACTGCGTCTACCTGGGACACACCTGAAGGGGCAGGACCCTGAGGGGGGAGGGGGTCTACCTGTGGGGGACCTGGCACAAGGAAGTGCGGCGGCGGGGGGAGGGAAGGAGTGCGGTAGGGGAAGAGACGCTAGTAGGGGACTGACTCGTCGAACGTGACGTCCTGGGAGGACAGAACACGACGAGAGGAGGGGTGGTAGAACTGCCACCCTGGGGCGTCAGGGGGGAAGCCAAGGAAGACACAGGGAGCAGCACGAGGGGACAGCTTGTCCGCAGACAAGTCGCGGACAAACGCCCGAGATCCCCAGACACGGAACGCAGACGCATCGCCGACCTTCCCCGTCCACAGCAAGGCTAGGGAGGTCTCCGGCCTGGAGACCCTGGGGTGAAGGTTGATCTGATGCGCCGCGTACCGAACCGCAAACGGCCACAGAAAATGGGGGGCAGCCGCATGCATCATGGACGTACGAGCGACGTCCATGACCATGCCAATGCGGCGCTCAGCAATCCCATTTTGCTGTGGAGGGTCCGGAAGCGTAAAGGTCTGGCGGATGCGTCGCGCACGACAGTAGGCTCGCAGAAGGCCAGAGGAGAACTCTCCACCTCGGTCAGAGTGCAGACGCAGAACAGGAAAGTCCGAGCCGAAGCTCCTCCTGAGCTGGAGACGAGCTGCGCGGATCCAGTCGATCAACACCTCAGTAACATCACCCTTGCTGCGCAAGGGGAAGACTGTGGTGTATCGCGAGTAGTCGTCAACCACCAGCAGGAAGTAGTGCTCGTGACCCTGTCCACGGACGCGGGCCGGGCCCCACACGTCCATGTGAAGCGTCTGCAGCGGGGCCTCTGTCGGGGGAAACTGAGAGGAGTGAGGGGTAGCCCGGAGCCGCCCCTCGACACAGGGGACACAGGAAGGACCAGGCCCTGGAGGAAGGGGAGGGAGGGACGGGGGGAGACCAGAGACAAGGACACGGGAAGCCATGCCTCGGAGACGAGGCAGAGAGGGGAAACCAAGACGGTGGTGCCACAGGAGAGTCTCGTGAGACAGGAGGCGACACGAGCAGGGGGCAGACTCAGGACCAGACCTGGACGCTGCAGCAAACACCTGACCCAACGCAGCTACCTAGCCAGACGCAGGGACAGGAGGGGACCCAGTGGTCAGGGTGTAGAGACTCAACCCCGGCCGACGCGAGAACGTGGCCAGGTGCCGGCCCGTGCGGGCGTCCGAGCAGTGGGTCACCCGCTGACTCGCAGGAGTAAACTGGTGAGCCCCTGCATCCTGCAGGTCAGCACCACTCACCAAGTTCGTCGAGAACGAGGGGAGGTAAAGACCAGACAAGGTGCCTGAGGGGGCAGCCGGACACGGGAGGACAGTGGAGAAGTGAGAGAGGACAGGACCCCCAGAGGGGTCTGCCAGGGAGACTGCAACCGGCCGACCAAGCGGCGTGAGTGTGGTGCGGTCTCGAAAGAAGGAGCGAGAAGCCCCTGAGTCAAGTGTGAAGGTGAGGGAGGCCGAAGCCGACGTGGTACCTAAGAGCGCAGACTCACCCGTACCTGAGGGCGCAGACGCACTGGCACCTAGAGCAGCAGCCTCACCAGCACCTGGAGCAGCAG